GCCATTTAAGAAAGTGCACTTTTAAAATAGGTTGCGAAAGAAACGCGAAATTATAGGTTGGTCCAAATAACTATTTTTTGTAACCAAAAAAGTTCAATTTCTCACTGGTCAAATATGAAAAATTATAATTTACACTTTTAATTAAAATAACACTTTTACACGTGCTCCTCATTTTTGCAAATCTCTTTAGCCGGGCAGCGCCATCCCTCGAAGAAATTTCAAATTATTTTTTTGTCAACATAACTGCATATATCAACATAACTGCATTTGAAGTTTCATCCGGAACCGGAACTGCGGGCCTCTGAGTAATGACAGCTTAATTTTAACCACCTAACCAAATAATATATACACTGAGTGGCCAAATTATTATGACCACCCCTTCAGTACGCTGTTGGGCCACCTTTGGCGCGTATTACTGCCTTAATTCGTCTGGGCATGGATTCTATGAGGTGTTGGTAGGTGGTAGAAGGTATGCCAGACCATGCTCGCTGAACTGCTCTTGCCAATTCCTGCAAATTTGATGGTACTGGATCCATCTGTCTGAGGGCCCGTTCAATTTCATCCCACAAATTCTCAATTGGATTGAGATCTAAGGATTGTGCTGGCCAACGAAGCAAGTTAAATTCTCCGTCATGCTCTTCGAACAATCTGAGGACAATGCCAGCTTTACGACAAGGAGCGTTGTCCTGTTGGAAGTATCCATCCCCCCAGAGTACACCATTGACATAAATGGATGTACTTGATCTGCGATGATACTTAAATACCCTTGGGCATCATTAAGGCGTTGTAGTGCAGGAATTAAAGGACCCATACAATACCAAGAGAACATTCCCCTTACCATAACGTTGCCACCACCAGCTTGAAGTGTCGTGGCAATGCAGATGGGGTCCATGTTTTCGTGCTGTTTTCTCCATATTCTCATCCTGCCATCTGCGCGATGCATTTGAAATCGTGATTCATCGGACCACATGACCCTCTTCCAGTCATCTACTGTTCAATGTTTGTGCTGCTTTGCAAATTGGAGACGTCTGCGCTTATTTAAAGCAGGCAGTAGAGGCTTACAAACAGGTCGTCTGCTTCCATACCCTTTACGGCGCAATGTGCGTCGAACAGTCCGTTCAGAGACGTTCACAGTTGCTCCTTGATTAAGATCACTTGCAATTTGTCGCACAGTGACTCTCCTGTTGCGCTGTACAACCCTGGTCAGCCTTCTCTCTGATCGAGCATTCAGTACCTTGTGACGACCATAAGTCTGACGTTGAGATCCGGTTTTTTGCTTGATTGTTCATTCTTTGTACACATTAACAACTGCTGCTCTAGAACACTTCACAAGTGCAGCCGTTTTGCTGATACTCGTTCCGACACATCTCGCACCCTCAATCATTCCACGTTGAAATTCAGTTAAATCACGTTTCTTTCCCATATCTGAGAAAGCAACACAGTATAACTGATGACTCACTTGTCCAGCATTCCCGTGTTATAGTTATCTTGCCCTCTAGGGGCAGCGCTGTGACGCAATAACTCATTGGCATAAAACTCTGCGGTAGTCATAATAATTTGGCCACTCAGTGTATATATATATGTATATATATATACATATANTAGCAGTTTTGAGGGCTAAAGGTGGTCCTACGAGTTATTAGCAGGGTGGTCATAATGTAAAGGCTCTTCGGTATATATATATATATATATATATAGGGATGATGGGATTTCTTAGCAGATCATAGATACTTTCGAATGACTGATTTCAATTTTGCATACGGTTTCTTTTTCCATACCACAAACTTTAAGGGGAGTAAGGGCACATCATCAGGGTTAAAATTGTATGGGAACACTAGCCTGGGAATGCTGCTCTAAGCAGAACGCTATTTGGGAATGCTGCTATAAACCGCTAGGGAATGAAAGAGTGTTTCTTTGCGTGCTTCTGAACAGGTCGAAATAGGGCAGCGCTCCCAGCCACGTACGACGACATTTTCACGGCATTTGCTCCTATGCAGTTTTTATCCTGATGATGTGCCCTTACTCCCCTAAAAGTTTGTAGCAACGTTTACGTGATCCCCTGTACGTGTAACATTTTAAAACTCGTACATTAAAAACAAAAAAAAANTAAAAAAAAATAAAAAAAATAAAAAGGAATAAAAATTTCAAATAAAAAGAATAAAAATCTGTAGGTTTAGGAGCAAAACTAAGTTCAGATTTGAAATTCCTGCACCCGAATTAGGCAAGATCAAATATTTGTAAAATTGTAACAAAAAATTTGTTCCCCAGTCTAATTATTTGTGTTGATAAATATTTATTTGAGGTAGCTTTCATATTTGCTAGCATAAAATATCGCCATGTATTGTAAATATCACTAAACATATGACAAACATATCGCTATATATTACTGTAAATATCGCTAAAAATATGACAAAAATATCGCTATATATTGTAAATATCGCTAAAAATATTACAAAAATATCGCTATATATTGTAATATGTGGAGAGTTCCAGACAAAGACCATCAAAATAAAATATCATGATTACTACAGAGTTAAACAGTATAAAATGAGCGTATACATGCCAACCTTTTGAAATTCTGTGATAAATGACCACGTGAATTTTACGGATTGACTATTTAATGTTAGTGTTTTAAGTTTTATTTGGCTAAACGTTTGCTTGGAAGTAATCACTCATTTGCGTGACTTATTTAGGTGAGTAATTGAATTTTTACCATTGAATTCTAGTTAGGAAAAACAGTAACATCGATTGAAAAGAAAAAAAAATCATATATATATGGTCCAAATATATGGTCCAACAGTGGCTATCCTACTTACTAATAGATGTTATAGTTGTAGATAAAAGGTTTCTATTTTGTTACTTTCAGCAAAAGCAAATAGTCAATAAAATGGATTTTCTGTAAAAATAAATTCTCAACAAGATAAACGAATGACGTGGAAATTACGATAACAGCTTTTAAGCAAATAAAATTAGGTAATTTAATGCTGACATTATTTCGATAGTAATAATTTCATAGTAGTTTTTCAGAAGTAGTAATTTAAAACATTTTGCTTACTTCATCTTTTTCTACCTGGTTTTAGATTGCTCTGGAATGTGGCTATTCTGAGATTATTTAATCTAATGTAAATGATAAACTTGGTGATACGCTAAATAATTGATGAACTTAGAAAAACCTTGTTCAAAAATGCAATTAACGTAGCGCTAGTTTCAATATAGGGGAATTGCAAAATCATTTATGTAAATTTTCACAAAAAGATATTAATCTAAAAACTTCGCATTTATTTTTTTTCCGGCTTTGTAGTTTCGAAAATAACGCGTAAATTATAAATATGTTGAAAATGTTTTTTTTTTCAAATAATTTTATTACTTCTTTTAAAATTTTTAATCACCTTTATTATTGAAGAATAGTGCTTAGGAATAATTACAGCGTTCATTTTAAATATAAGATAAATTTACAGTTCAAATATATTTCCTTAACTTTTGGAAGAAAAACCATGCTTGATCTATTAAAACACGTTATTCTAGCTACTAACATATACCTGCCAACTCTTCCGGATTTTCCGGAAGATTTTATTTTCATATTTAAAGTGGTAGCAATACTCAGGTTATTCCAATTAACTTTTTGAATTATAATGATAATTATAAATGAGTTTGACCACCACTACATATAAATAATTACAATAAATATATTAAAGCATAATAATCCATGCGCAAGCGAATTACACCGGGATCAAAATATAAATATATTTTTGAATCAGATTGTTTTTCGTTTATTGTTTTACAAACACTCTGAAAATCCATTCTTGGAAAGAGTGAAAGTTGGCAGGTATGTACTAAGTCTTAACCCATTAACCCACTCCAACGCAGTGTCTCCAGTCTAGCAACACTTATTTTATAACCGTCATTGAACAGTCGACCCAATTTCAAAATTTCAATGGGTTCAAAATTACAAAGCTACGGAGTTGAATACACCAGAAAATATTTAACCCTAGTCCAGAGCAAATTGGCATCTCTGCTCTAGGCTTATATGGGTTAATACCTAGTGACAAAAAAGTGGTCTACATGTAAAAATAGCTACAGGGGGAAAAGTGGTATTACATATTTGTTAATGATAAAGAGGAGCCAGGATGGCTGAGGGGATAGAGCGTTTGCCTTCCAAAGAGGTGAACCGGGTTCGAATCCCAGCGATGGCTGGTCAATACGATTTCCGCAGCCGGCTCTCAGCGACCACAGTGCTGAAGTAAAATATCCTCAGAGGATCATGGATCATGGGTTAGAGTCCCCATGCTATCAGGCTATCAATGGGAAGTTTTCGTGGTTTTCCTCTCCTTGTAATGCTATGGTGGGTTAGTTCCATCAAAAAGTCCTCCACGAAAGCAAATTTCTCCCAATGCTTGATCCAGGAGTTCCCTTGTCTTCTGGATAGGGCTCTAAATTACCAGGTACATAGTTCAGCATTAGTAATCGCAAACCCAAAAAATTTGTTCGGTTCTTTAACCCCATGGGGACGGGTGATTCAGAAAAGCATTCGTACAAAATTAGAATCAGGAGGTAATTAAATTAAAAATGGTAACTTAAATGTAGTCGTTTCTAATTTGACAGACTTACTTTGCTTTTACTTTAATTATTGTTAGTTTAATCATATATATAATCAATATTAATTCAAAGTATAGCTAAATAGTTTTATTTTGAACAAAGTAATGGTGAATTAAATAAATCAAACAATTATAACTCCGCCCACAAATAAACTGCTAAAGAATTACTTTGATTACCAGTTTTATCTCTTTACCCTGGTTGATACGGTTTCATGCTGGCACGTATTTGTGACAGCCGGCGAGAAAGGGTTAACGACGTTTATAAATGAAAATGAAAGACACCAGGAGTAAAAAGTTTTTTTAATAAAAATATCACTAAAATTGACTGCATTATATTTTTCAAAGTGTATGTTTGCAAACTTTTTTCATAAATATACTATATTTAATCAACTATATTTGTTTTAGCTCTACCATCACATGGTCCTGATATTATTGGCTTACAGCCTCGTTATCAAGTTGGTGATGAGGTAAATATAACGTGTTCCTTTGGACCTTCTAAACCTGCTGCAAAAGTGCATTGGTATATCAATGGGGAAGTGGTAAGTTACTTCAATATATTGATTGAAAATAATATTGAAATTGGGATTTGTTGATGATTTGTAAACTTAGAAAACCACTAATTTAAATTATTTGTTACATTTTAAATAGTGTTTCTTACTCTATGTTTTCATGTATGGTAATATCAAAATTACAGTTTTATTAAACTGCTTATGTATTTTAAAATTAAAAATTAAAATTTGTGTATAGCAGTGACATTATAAAAGTTAAAAAAATATATTTTAAGGAATAAAAAAATTTAAAATTTATGTATGTTGAGTGTTTTAACCCACCGTTGAAAGTCTTCTTCCATGATCAAGCAGAATTTTTTAACAAACTTTATGTGTCATCCATTTTCTTCATAGTTTTTTTTTACTCCATTATTCCCAACAGATATCAATAGCTTGCATTTAAATTTTGTAGACGCAGTTTAAAGACTCTATCATTTTTCCCAAATGTTAAGCACTTTGTGGAAATTTTTTCCCACTGGTACCAAAAATCACCTAAATATGTTTTACCTTGTCCTAGTATAAGTTAACATTGAATTGGTTGTATAAAGTGTCAATGGTTTAAACTTAACTTCCAGGCTCACAGTTTGCTATTGCTGGAAAAATATTCCACAGAATGCTTAAAATTTGGTATCCATGTACCTTTTAAATTGCATAATTGTAATATCCATTATAAATACGCATGAAGAAATTGACGTAACAGAAATGCTTACTAAATTCATATAGATATAGCTTTGTATTGTTATGTTTGTAACTCAAGATCAATCTTTTTTGATAATTTTAGCTTCCGAACCAGTTTGTTTCAATTTTGCTATTTCTTTGTGAGATTTGTTGTCTGAAACCATGCTATTGTATATTTTATAACAATTACTTTAAGATTAGTCTGCCAATCTTAAAATGTATTTTAGCTTGTAAAGGTAAGTACGAATTCAAGCTTTTAAACTCATTCCTTACAATTAACAAAACACCCCAAAATGCATATGGATTTTGTTGATGCTTTAGGTAAGTTAGACTCATAAGTCATCAAAATATTTCTATAATACTCGTAAGAGTTTGAGAAAATGTAAAGGTAGGTTACTATCTTATTTTATATAGGTTGGTTATTTGTGAAACTGTTAATAAATGAGTTATTTTAATTTATTAATTTTTATGTCTGTAAAATTATAATGTGTATAAAATTGTGTTAATTATTTTTGTTACTAACTTAACATTTTATGTATGAAATGGGTGTACTGTTGAAAATGCATCAAAACTCCTTTATATTACCCCATGTTTAATAGGGGTTTAAGTGCAATTTACCCAAAGAAGCTAAAAGTTAACCGATTTCACAGTAATTATTAAATAAATGCAAAAAAATTGAAATATTTCTCTGTTATAGGTAACCAGAAGAAGAAATAATTTTTTTTCGTAATGATAAAACAAGGTTCCATCTAAACAATATTCATAGCCTTTCCAAATGCCGTTATACTAACTATCAGTTTATTAGTTATCTCTACAATGTACAACAATTACTACAATCAGTGATAATAGTAACTGAAGAATGTCGTATTCATTTAAACAGATTATTTTCTCTTTTATGGGACTGAGATTCTGATGAAACACTAATAAAAGCTTCCGTGAAAGATAAGAAATTATAGTCTTTTAATTTCGATAATTCATCCAAACTACGATTCATATTATATGCAGATCTGCCAACTTTTACAGCTTATAGTCAAAAAAGCTTCCGGTAAAAAAAAAAATCAATTATCAATAATTTTTTTATTATTTTTTTTTACTAACAAGGCAGGATTAGATATAAAAAATAATACAAAGCAAGTAATAAATATAGAAAAAGAATACGATTAAAAGACGTGACCAAAGTCATTGCATTAAAAGTATCTGCATTATTAGTAACTGTAAAATATTGCAGTCATTAAACAGATTATTCTCTCTTTAATAGGGTTGAGATTCAGATCAAACGCTGATACAAATCACTGTGAAAGATGAAGAAATTTATTGTCGTTTTATTTCAGTAATTCATCTAAACTACGATTCATGTTAACTGCCGACCTACCAATTTCTACAGCTTCTAGACAAAAAAAAAATTTATCGGTAGTTTTTTTTTATTTTCAATAGTAAGGCAGGCACAGATATAAAAAGAGATACAAAAATGTCATAAATTAACAATTACAATTAAAATAAGCCACCAAAGTCAGTGAAATTAAGAGTTCTCAAGCAGGCATGTAAAGCGTTGTCTTTAAGTTGTCTTAAAGTTATGCACATCGATTCTGAAGTGTTATTTTTTTATGAAGTATATAAACAGAGATGTCAACTTGCTCATCACCTCCTACATCAAGAAGCCTCCACACGGTCTTTCATAAGTAGTCCGCGCAGACTGCTTAAAAAGCGAACCAGTTGTGCGCATGTACCCAAAACTTTTTATTAAAGTAATTGAGAGAAATTTATCTTATATATTTGAGAATTGAATCTGTAATGGTTGACAAGTGAATAAGGCAAGCCAATAATATTCATAAATAAAATAAATTTTTAGTCATATATTTGCTACCACTTTCTTTTTTTAACTATATTCTGTATTAAATGACTCGTTTGGTAAGTGGATATCCTTCACAGTGGTCTGATCGGATTACCTATAAAAAACCGTGTGGAGGCTTGCTCCGGACAACGGATAAATATTTTCGAGTGGTAGTCTTTTAGTGTATGAAACTTGGTTTAATAAATTATATTTATAAGGTTTTTACATTACTCTACTTCTAAATAATTCAAAGGTTTCAATCAAAAGCCCCTTTGCTGCAGCTCAGCCGCGTTGAGCCTCGTAAAAAGGTGCTAAAATTAACCAAAAATCTCTAAACTTTAGTTTTTGGTTCTCTACAACTTTTTAAAATAATCTGTCTAGTCCGGAGCAGTTGGCATCTCTGTAAGAGTTTGCCTTAAAGATAGTAAAACTTAATTTATGTATTTCTGTGCTTTGTAAAATTATCGAATTTTATACTTTTAAACTACATTGCTTAGAAAACATAATGCATTTTAAATATTGTTGAAAATTGAAAAGAAGAATTCTTTTCGGTGTATTTTACTGCTGCAAAGAAAGATTTTTTCGTCTGAAAGAATGTTTTTATTTTTCACAATAATAATCTTATTTTGTTATACTCTGAATTCGGTTGGGATGGAATTAATTCATTTATTTGGTTGACCGGAAAATTTTCGACCGGGCCGATTTCCGATAGGGGGAGCACTTTAATATCTTCCGAAAATATTCAAGTGGTAGCAAACTGCTCATCAAAGCAAATTGAAGTTTTCCGAAATTCGAAACCACTTGAATTTAGATAATATTCATGCAGCATGTATTGTACTTCGATATATGCAATAAATGTACAAATCGTAGTGGTGATCAAGAAAAATTTATGATAGATTATAAATACAAAAAATATATTTTATAGTATACATTTTGCTATTACTTGAATATTTTTAGTAGGGGCCTTTGAAAGCTGGCACGAACTTTCTGGACAGCCCAATATAAATTTTATCATCATTTCAATTTTTTTTGAACTTTTAGGAGCTCCGCCTAGAGATAAATCGGTTCGAAAATTCTGAACAACCCGTTGTCTGATATATTAAATATTTTTCGATTTTTTTAATACGTTATGCACGTACTATTAATACCAAATTATTAATCTTAATCCCAACTATTAATCCCAAATTATTAATTAATCTTAAATAAACAATATTTTTCTTATTTTATACATGTAAAATTTTCCGCTCACGATTGCTTTACTCAAACATATGTGATAAACAAAAAAGTTGCCTCAAATTTATATATCTTATATTTATTATTTTCAGTTTAGATAATAAGATCTTCAACTACTAGTGAATTTTTTTTACAAGGATTAATGTACTTTACTTCAAATACCACGTTTAATCCTTCTTCTTACTCGACATGCTTTAATGTATTCTATTATCATTGGAATGAATTTGCTACGCTCTATATTATAGGCCCAAGCACATCACGTGACTCACTTGCCACCACGGAAAACAAAAGAAGGATTGCAATGGATTGAATTACGTCTCATCTTTTCTATGTCAGGCAAATATATAAGAAAAGGAGGACTTCGTCTACAATGCTTAGCTGAAGTGTTCTTGATTTACGCAAGATCTCATCACGAGTTAGTTATTGGGGAACGATTGTCAGGACCAGGACCCCAGAATGGTAAGATTTTATTTCTTTCCTTGGGTATGTTATATACGAAGAGCTATGTAGAAACAACATATTAGGTGATTTCTTTAAAACATACTAACTTCCAGCCTTAAGAGTATGTTATGGGTACTAGCGTACATCGTGCTTCAGGTTTGTCATGCGAGACCTTAAAAACAAATAGTTTTTTTAATTTTTAGTTATTAATAATCTATAATAAAATTAAAGTTTTGTGGAAGAACGTGTTAAGGGAACACTGGCCGTTCAAAATGAGAAAAATCATTAAAAAATCTATTATTTGGCTTCAGAAATAGTAAAAAAAAATTGCACTTTACTAAACAATATTCAACAAACCGTGTTTAGCCCCTTGGAGACGGGTGATTCATAAAAGCATTCGTACAAAATCAGAATCAGGATGTCAATAAATAGAAAAACGGTTGCTTAAATGTAGGCGCTGCTAATTTGACAGACTTACTTTGCTTTTACTTTAATTATTATTAGTTTTATCATATATATAATCAATGTTAGTTCAAAGTATAACTAAACAATTTTATTTTGAGCTAAAGTAATGGTGAATTAAATAAATCAAACAATTATAACCCAGCCCACAAATAAACTGTTAAAGAACTACTTTGGTTACCAGTTTTATCTTTTTACCCTGATTGATACGGTTTTATGCTGGCACGTATTTGTGACAGTCGACGCGAAAGGGTTAAACCTCATCTCCTACATCAGAAAGCCTCCACACTGGTTTTTATAAGTAGTTTGCCCAGGTTATTTAAAACGCGAACCAGTTGTGCGCATGAAACCAAATTCTATTTTAAAAGTAATTGAGACAAATTTATCATATATATTTGAGAATTGTATCTGTAGTGGTTGGCAAGTAAATAAGAAAAATCAATCATATTTAGAAATTAAAAAAATTTTTAGACGTATATTTGCTACCACTTTTTAATTTTTAACAGATTTTCTATTAAATGGCTCTTTCGTAAGCTGGTTTACATTCATAAGCAACTCCATTGCCTGCTCACCTCATTGCTCAACCAAAACTGTTATAAAATTCCAGATGAATGGGATAGGGGCCGCTTCGCGGCATAGGTGCCCAATAAAATCAAAACACTAGGACTAGGTTTACATTCATAGTGATCTGATCGGACTACCTATAAAAAACCGTGTGGAGGCTTTCATTTGTAAGAGGCGTTGACACTGGAAGTTCAGAAAAAGAAAAAACCTTAAAAAACCGAAAATTAGCGACGTTCTTTTGTACCTTCTGCTCGTGACGTCAAAAACAAACTCCTCCGCCTTCTCTAGGTGGTTATGACTGTAGGCTTGCCCTCTAGGGGTGGTCGTGCCACTGAGTTTATTATAATTAGAAGAATATAAAAGACATGTATATTAGTTAACCCGTTTTGTCCCGAATATATAGATTGAAATGATACAAAAAGAACGAGTCATTTAATACAAAATTTAGTTAAAATAAGAAAGTGGTAAATATATCACTAAAAATATGTATTATTTATGAATATTATTGGTTTGCCTTACTCACTTGTCAACCACTACAGATTCAATTCTCAAATATATAAGATAAATTTCGCTCAATTACTTTTATAAAAGGTTTTGGGTACATGCGCTCAACAGGTTCACATTTTAAACCGTTTCGTCCCGAATTTATATATGGAAATGATACAAAAAGTGGTTTTATGGAAAAAGTGGTAAAGTATATTATCGAAATTAATTGATTTTCCAACAGTTAGAGCATTCAAAAAATCTTTGATAGATTTGATAGTACTTACTCATTATAATTCTAGATCTAATCAGAAATAACTAAATCATTGGTATCTGAGAATCTTTTAATTCACCCAGATAAATGAAAATACTGAAAAAAGTTTACCAACACAATGAATGTCTTTGAAAAAAGGAACTGTCCTAAGTATAGGACGCTGGGCGTTAACCGGTTAAAAAAGGAATCAGGAGCAGTGGTGGAAAAATTACTTACAATAAAATATACTAAACTATAAATTACTTACAACTTTTTTTTACCACTAGAAAACATTTTATTACAGAGTAGAGCAATCTTGATTAGACACTTGCTGTAAATGCTTTATAAAGTGTCCGGAGTCCACTAAATAAAGGGGTAACCCTCCTCGACCGAAATCTATTGTAGAAAGCTTCAATACGAATTTATATGAATTGCGCGCAAGAACCAAAAAGGCTGTTTGAAAAGTAAATGAGAGAAATTTATCACAAATATTTGAGAATTGAATCTGTAGTGGTTGACAAGTAAATGAAACTAAGCAATAATATTCATAAATTAAAAAATTTTTTAGACATATATTTGATACCGCTTTCCAATTTTTAATGGATTTTCTGTTAAATGGCTCTTTCGTAAATTGGTTTACCTTCATAGTGATCTGATCGGACTACCGATAAAAAACCGCGTGGAGGCTTTCATTTTCAAGAGGCGTTGAATTGCAGAACGAGAATCCATTATTTGGTTTTAGAAATATTAAAAAAAAATAAAAAATTTTTAAGACATATTCAACAAACCGTGTGTAACCCCTTGGGGACGGGCGATTCAGAAAAGCTTTCGTACAAAATCAGAATTAAGTTGTAATTAAATAAAAAACGGTAACTTAAATGTAGTCGTTGCTAATTTGACAGGCTTACTTTGCTGTTACTTTAATTATTGTTAGTTTAATCATATATATAATCAATGTTAATTCAAAGTATAACTAAATAATTTTATTTTGAACTGAAGTAATGGTGAATTAAATAAATCAGACAATTATAACCCCGCCCACAAATAAACTGCTAAAGAAATACTTTGATTACCAGTTTTATATTTTTACCCTGATTGAAACGGTTTTATGCTGTCACGTATTTGTGACAGTCGGCCCGAAAGGGTTAAATCAGAGTTTTTCTGTTCCGAGTAATTAGATTATGAGTTTATAAAAGTCCTTTACATACCTGTCAATTTTTACGCATTTGACGAAAAATTTTATTTCTATATTTAAAGTGGAAGTAAAATGTAAGCTTTTTATAAATTCCTTGCGTTTATAAACTTAATTTATAAACATTTTGAACAGCACTATTTTTAAAAAAAATTAATTATATACAGTGGCGGACAAAAGTGTGGACACTTTTTGAAAGTTTCATGTTTTTCAACTTTGTGTGCTTGTAGAATATATTAATTTGCACTTAAATACAAACGTTTACATATCAAATTGAAGGTAATTTAATGTAAAATTTAATAATAAATACAGTATTACAATATCTGTATTACAAAAAAAGTTATGCAACTAATAGTAAGATCTATGTTAGATTTGCATTTTTTGAAAGTGATACTTACACAATCAATACTTGTAGGGTAACCCTTATTTTTTAAGACAGACACACGTCTTTCATCGAGTGAACGAGTGTTTGGAGTTCATCTTTCGTAATCACATGGTACCAAGAATCAATTATAGCTTCACTTAGTTGTCTTTTATTGGATGGACGTTTTTTTCGTACTAGAATTTTCAAACGGCGCCACAAAGTTTCAATTGGACTGAGATCAGGGCTCTTTCCTGGCCATGGTAATATATCTATGCCTTTATTTTGAAACCATGCTTTGCATACTTTTGCTGTGTGGCATGGAGCTGAATCCTGTTGAAAAATAAATGGTGCGTTGTTGGGGAAGAGATCCCTGATGGAAGGTATCAATTTTGGTTTCTGGACAGTTTCGATGTCTTTTTGGCATTCAGGATGCCAAATCAGGCCGAAAAAAACGCACAAGTGCTACTACCGATAGAAAAATTAAACGACTATGCCTTCAAGATAGAAAAATTTCATCAAATGCCATTAGATGTGAAATGAATGCAGCGGATATTGCAGAAAGTTCAAGAACAATAAGAAGAAGGTTATCAGGATTTGGACTACAAGCTAGAATTCCAAGCAAAAAACCATATTTAAATCAAAAGCAACGCAAAAAACGAGGTAAGTGGGCAAAAGAACACATTAAATGGTCAGAAAATCAATGGAAGCCAGTAATCTGGAGTGATCTTAGTAAAATATCGCTCTTTGGTAGTGATGTTAGAAAATACGTGAGACGTAGAGTAGGTGAAGCACTTTATCCTGATTGCATTGAAGCAACTACAAAAAATCCAACAAATGTCATGATTTGGGCATGTATGTCTGCAGATGGTGTGGGCCGAATTCAAGTGATTGGTGGCTTCCTGAATGCCAAAAAATGCATCGAAACTGCCCTGAAACCAAAATTGATACCTTCCATCAGCGACCTCTTCTCTAACAACGCACCATTTATTTTTCAACAGGATTCAGCTCCATGCCACACAGCAAAAAGTATGAAAAACATGGTTTCAAAATAAAGGCATAGATATATTACCATGGCCAGGAAACCAACCTGATCTCAATCCAATTGAAAATTTGTGGCGACGTTTGAAAATTCGTGTACGAAAAAAACGTTCATCCAATAAAAGACAACTTATTGAAGCTATAATTGATTCTTGGCATCATGTGATTACGAAAGATGAATTTCAAACACTCGTTCACTCGATGAAAAGACGCTGTGAAGCTGTCTTAAAAATTAAGGGTTAATCTACTAAGTATTGATTGTGTAAGTATCACTTAAAAATGCAAATCTAAGATAGATCTGACTATTAGTTGCATAACTTTTTTTGTAATACAGATATTGTAGTACTGTATTTATTATTAAATTCTACATTAAATTACCTTCAATTTGATATATAAACGTTTGTATTTAAGTGAAAATTAATATATTCTACAAGCACACAAAGTTGAAAAACATGAAACTTTCAAAAAGTGTCCACACTTTTGGCCACCACTGTATATAAATATATAAATACGCAATCTTTGCATAATGCGCACAAGCCTTTTCAAAATAAAGTGTATGTTTCTACCTAAAATCGGAATTTAAATTCCATGTAGCTAACACTGCGAGAGCTCGTCTTTGAAAGGACTAAAAGTTGGCATGTAAGCATATGTCAATACATAGTTCTCGTTGACAAAGTTGTATTTTCTCGTAATGGAATTTTTCAATGTTTTCACAGACTCCGAAAGTTTCTTGAACAATAAATTTTGCTTTATTGTTATCGAAAATTTTTCAGATGCTCTTCAATGTGCCTTGTTTAATTATAAATGCTTTTGATTAATTCAATATCTTAATTTAGTTTTTTAATAATTGAACAAACATAATGTAAACATGGTTTTTGAAGAAATTTTGGAAGAAAAAAGGAAAATTTAATGTCTAGTTACATTTTGTTTTTATATGATTACCCATAACCACTTAAATTTATTTAAATGCCTATAAACAATGTATTTGGGAAAATATTTCTTTACAAGAATTAAATCTCTCTCTTTTTAATTACCAACAATTAAGAACCATAATTTTAGCTGTAACTTTAAAACTAATTTTTATTTTTTTAAGACTTTGTACGCATACTTCTGTTAAGGCTACTAATATTCTGTTATAACTAGAAATGATGGAATAAAAATTGCTTTTTACTTCATTAACACGTTCAAGCCGGGTGTTGCGCCTGAAAGCGGGACAGAAAAGAGAAAATACTGGTAGAAGAACTATTTCAATATTAGATAATATTCGGGAGGAGTTAATCTATTCTCAACAATAACAATTCACTGTAAGGAAATTTATCACAGCGAAGAAGCAATTTAATATTAAAATTGCATCCGTTAAAAACTATTGATAGTTATGGATTTTTATTATTCCCGGAAAAAAACGAAAAAAAAATTATTGTTACCAGTTTTTACTCCGGTGTGCTGCCAAGATGAGACAATCTAGCGTTACCCACCGGTGGGTCACCCCGGCGTGAACGTGTTAAGGCGAAAAATCGGAGAGACTGGAACAATATTGTTCGGCAGGCCAAAGCTTACAACGGGCTGTAGTACGCCTTTTTGTCTTTTTGAAAAAGAGGTGTTGGTCCCAAAATGGGAGAATTAATGGATTTACTGATGAAATAGGAATTGACGGATAAATCTTGCTACCAGTAAATGAAATTTTCCGAGCTGAAAGAGAAATTTTTTTAACTGCGCTATGCTTTAATTACTTTCAGCTGGTTCATAAACCAGCTATCATGATTAAATCAAATTTTTTCGAGCGCACAATGAGTTCATGTCTTAAATGTATTTATAGGAAATTGTGATTAAAACTATGTGGTATTAAAAGTATTGCGTGAAAACTTTTTTTCTAAATTTGCATAGGTGCAACTTTTACGCGTTTTTTTAGGTTACAAAATGAGACATAAAAACTTTCTTTTTTTTTAAAATAAAAATTGCAATTTTCTTTTGACGTATTGGAATTTTTGACTCGAAAAATATGGGGAGTAGACGAAATATGGGAAATATGGTCACCATAGTTTAATTAGGACTGGGATCAAAAATTTGGACCCCTTAGGATTGATTTTACCTTTTGTGTATTTCACTATATCTCGGGACAACAACATACCCTCCAACTTATGAGGATTTTGAAAATAATTCTTTCTAGTGGTAGCAAACCAAAGTAGAAATTTTTAAAGCAAATGGATCTGTCATGAAACTTTTATCAGAACTTAAGAATCTAGCCATATGGCCTGCACTTTTATAAGTAATAGTGGACAAGGTACGCTAAAATTAATTTTTTTTAAATATTAAGACATTAATTTTGCTACCGTCTGAAAAGAAGATTTCTGAAACTACGGAAATTCCGTAGCAGTTGGAGGGTATGCAACAATAACAATTCACTGTAAGGAAATTTATCACGGCGAAGAAGCAATTAAATATAAAAATTGCATCCGTTAAAAACAATTGGTAGTTATGGATTTTTATTATTCCCGGAAAAAAACTAAAAACTGAAATTTATTTGTTACCAGTTTTTACTCCGGTGCGCCACCCGAGGACACAATCTAGCGTGACCCACCGGTGGGTCACCCCGGCGTGAACGTGTTAACAAGGTTTTTCGAAGCTCAACCACAAAGGAAAATTTAAGAAATAAAAAGACTGAGATTAAGTGCCTTTCACCTAAAGCAACAAAAAATTATCTCTCTCATCTCTCAACAAAGAATTATCTGGTTTTCAGAACTGGCAATTAACTTTAACATTTTAAAAGTTATTAAACTTTTTTAAAAGTTAAACACTTTATTTAAAAGAATAGCCACTCTGGCGATATTTTTTCACTTATATGAAAATTTTCAAAATCACTGTTTCATTCTCAGATTTTACAAATTTTTATGAGCTGCGTTGGATAATGCAGTATTGGAGTAAATTTTTTTAAACATTAAAAAAATTAGACCACGAACGCTTTTTATTTTCACAAAACAGTGGACTTTCTACACATTTACGTAGGTTCAGATTTTAGATTTTATATATATATATATATATATATAAATATATATATA